AAAACCTGTCATTAAGCACCTCTCAATTTATGACCTCTCTGTGACCTAAATTCTTTATATCCACTAAAAAATCTCAACGCTCAAAGCTCCTGCTTTAAGAGGCACTATCAGTCAGCTCTGCCAACAAGGCTGCAGTAAAATATGTGAAGTAAGTCCAAATGTCAGCGATGAAATGTATAGCTATCATCCATTGTGCTCGCTGCATTTTAGCTGCCACTTAAATGTTTTTCTGGCACCCTTTTAATAACATAGTCTGGATAAGTGGGTTAAGAACGGAGACATTTAGGCTGCGTTCACACTGCAAGCCTTAATGATGAATTCCGATTCTTTCGCTCAGATCAGATTTTTTTGTTTGGCTGTTTACATTGTGTGGCTACACAGTGATGGTGATGGTCTCGCAGCGAGAAGGTTCCTAGTTTGAATCCCTGTCGGACAGGAGGATCCCTCTGTGTGTGGAGTTTGCATGATCTCCATGTGCATGCGTAGTTTCCCTCTGAGCACTCCGGCTTCCTCTCACAGTCCAGAGACATGCTCGTTAGGTTAATTGATGACTCCCGTAGGTTTGAATGTGAGTGTGGCTGGTTGTCTGTCTCTATATGTCAGCTCTGTGATTTTCTGGCGACCAGTGTAGGGTCGGTTGTACCCCGCCTCTCGCCCAGTGACAGCTGGGATCGACTCCCGCCCCCATGACTCTGAACGGTTAAGGCGGTATAGATAATGGATGGCTGGATATTCACATTGCTTTTTAAAAATGTGGCTTGTATCAGACTCCTGTAGGAATCCACACATGAAAGTGGCTCAAATCTGACTTTGACTTGTGCTGTTCACAAAATCCTATCTGAGTCACAAAGGAGATAAAAATCAGGCTCAGGTCTTTTGTGGCAGCAGTGTGAACGTCGCCTTAGAAACTCAGATTTACAATAATTTAATGCTCATGCTGAGTTGATTACTTTCTTGCATACTAGATATCTGCAGGAGGAGGAAAGCAAACAAATTCAAGATCTTTATTGTCATGTGCAGAACGATCACACATAAAAAGACATGGACCTGCAGTACAGTATGGATCCACCCTTTGACTCGATAAATCCTGTCTGTGCTGCTCATCTTCTCGCAGTTTTCGGGACAGTTCTGCTTCTTCACTTTACGTTACTGATGTCGGTCAGAGGATTTTTTTTCTTACACTTGGACACAAACAAACAGTCGCATCGAGGCAGGATTTTTGAATGTCGTTTCAGTCGATTGTCAAAGGGGTTGCTTTTGCTAGTCATAAACAGTGCTCCTGCTCATCCTGTGGAAACAGTTGAGTTGATTTCTGTGACTTTGTCCAACAATATTACTGAAGTGACACCTTGCTGGTTTGGAGAACTTTAAGGTTGCAGAGTTTGAAAATGTTAAACACCTGTGGATGATAAAATAAACACTGTCTTATGAAGAACTGCAGGATTGATTTCTTTCCTGCAGCCTGCCTCATACTTAGGAATAGAGAATAATATCTCTGCCTCTGCTGCATCCATTTTGAAAAGTTTTTTAAGTTCAAGACTTATTTTGTAGCTACCTGCAAAGTTAACTAAATTCGCTTTATTGGCTGAAATGGAAGTGCACGTTTAAACAGTTGAAACAGCGAGTTTTAAATTTAATTAAATTCAATCCAAACAACTTTATTTTTCCCCAGGGGGAATTCCCATGAGGCACATAGAGCAGTAGCATGATGAAAAAAATATAGGCAGTGAAGACAGTGCAAGGTAGACTAAAAAATATAAACTTAAAATTAAATACAAAAATTAAAATGAAAGATGGTTCGTGTAAAAATATGGATTCATAGTATAGTTTCAGCTCCGAGTGTGCGCTGGCTGCAGAGTGAAAAAAGATTAAAAAGAAAGAAGAAGGGAGGCTGGTTCACTCGGGAAATCTAGGTCACCTCCTGTCAGCTTCCCTCCGATCTCTCTTCCTTTTATTCTGTAGAAAACATGCAATCAGGTCGACTGCCACAAAGCCGTTTAGTGGAATAAACCTTATTTAAAGGTGAATCAGCAGACCAGAAACCCTCCCATGCCAACATTGACATATTTATCACAGGGCACGATGTCAAGATCTGTGTTCAAATTCTCTCCTGTCTGATGGGAGACTCCCCATTTCCACCGTGTGTGATGGATGAAAAGGTCACCGTACCACCACCCAAACATCTCTGCTTGTGTTTTTTTCCGTAGGTGGACGGTGACAGGCCGGAGGAGGCCAGGCTGATAGAGATTGATGAATCCCAGCGCAGCGAGCACACAGTCTTCATCACACCTCCAGAGCTGCCTCCTCTGCCCGACGGGGAGGAGTATCCTCTCTGCTACAGGTAAAACCGGTGACACTGACTTTTCCTCTCACACGGGGGAATTCATTGGAAACCATCAACACTAATTTGACAACCAAACTAAAAACATTCTGCCGGAAAAAAAACCTTAAAGAGGACATATTATCCCCCTTTTCCACCTTTTCAAACAGTCCCCCTGTGGTCTAAATGAAACACCTGTGCTGTGCTTTGGTCAAAATATAACATGAATCAAGTACCAGAGGAGGTTTGTGACCCTGTATAAACCAGCTCTCTCAGAACGCTCCGTGTTGGTGTGTGTGTCTCTTTAAATCCAATGAGCCCCCCCCCCCTGAGTTTTCATGGTAGACATCACTCCTCTGTAGCGAGAATAAAAATGGCAGACCTGTGCAAAAGTTTTGCTCTAGGCGTTTTGCTCTAGGCGTGTAATCTCTGGAGCCTATGGGTGGAGATAACAGGGGAGGGGTGTTTTTTTTTTTAAACCAGAATCCCACTGTGACATCACAAGGAGAGCAAATTTGAAGCAGAGCATTTTTCTCTGTGTTGTAAAACTTATGCAGACCACAAACAAAGGACTGGATGGGTTTATTTCACATGTTGTGGGTCAGTAGACACTCAGGTTACCCAAATAAATGTTCAAAAACACTGTACAAGTGGATTTTTCATAATATGTCCCCGTTTAAATTAAATCCTTCCACTTTACCGCCCAGATACAAGAGACTCGCAGCACATTAGAGTTGCAGATAAGAGCACGAACAAAATTAGAAAGTCTGAATTATACATTGGGTTTAAAATTGGTTAATTCATACTGGGTTTCACTGATTGAGGACCAGCAGGAGTCCAGCTCCCTCACTGAGACCAAAGACTGCACAGCGCTGCAGGACTTGTGCCGCTCTGAACGTGCACTTGTTCTTATTCTGCGGTCATGTTTAGCTCTAAAAGCTTCCTGCCAGGAGATATTAAAGAAACACTTAAATTAAGCCCCTCCGATAATCCATAATGACCAGCAGCCTCCGAGAGTTTTATCCCCAGCTCTCTTTTCAGATAATTACAGATCAACAGTGATGATACTTTTAACCTTGAAGGGAATCATTTCATTTTCGATATTGCTTTTCTGTTCAGCCATTGAGAGCTAAGATTAAAACCGAGTGCCTGCTGTTACTAACTTGTGAATATGTGTTCTTTATCAGATACGACGGTTTCCCAGTGTTGAGCCTTGACCTGTTTGACCCCATGGAGGGCCTGCGGACCCCCTCCTCCCGCCTCGCTGCCAGGCAAAGCTGTCCCACCAGCCCCGCCCCCATGTTTAGACGCACCAAGCAGGTCAGCAGAGCAGTAACTCACTGCTGCCACACAATGATTTATTGATTTATCTGTTAAGGGACTGAGCTGGAGCTCTTCTCCAGGATGACTTAAAAAAAAAAAAAAACTGAGAGCGACAGTAATGAGGTGGATTTTCTTTCTCCAAAACATTACAATCTCCAAGAGGTCGATACCAGTTTAGATTGTCTGCTGATCCTTTAAAAAATAATCCCTTGAAATGAGAAAAGAGCTGGACATTTTTTTCAGTTTACAATTCAGCTTTCACAAAGAACTGCCTGAAGCAATCCACAAACCAAGAGAAAAAGTTTAATCTACTTTGTAATGTGGTTAGAAAACTGGTGTGTTTTTATGTATCTAGACACGTCTAATCTAAAAATGTTGATATCTGATTTGTGCTTCGGAGAACTTCTCTTCCTGATCCTCCTCTTCTTGGTCCACAGGAGATCAAATCAGCCCAGAAGATAGCCAAGAAATATTCATCCATCCCCCAGATGTGGTCCAAGTGTCTGCTGCGTCACTGCTACGGCCTGTGGTTCATCTGCCTGCCGGCATACGTGAAGGTGTGCCACTCCAAGGTGCGGGCGCTCCGCACCGCTTACGACGTCCTCAGGAAGATGCAGGCCAAGAAACTGCAGCCCCCTGATGAGGTGAATGTGCTGTACCCCCAAAAAATACATGTTTGACATTTATGCAACGAGACGCACAGTGAGGTTGGCTCGGTTAAACAGATTCAGCTGGTGAATTGAAATTAGCTTTTCCTTCTCTCACCTGGTTGTATTTTTTGGATATGTAGGCCTTTGCCTGAACAAAATCGTGTTTTTTTGGGTTGTTTTCTTTTAACAGGTTTGTTACCGGGTGCTGATGCAGCTGTGTGGACAGTACGGACAACCTGTGCTGGCAGTCAGGGTCCTGTTTGAGATGAAGAAGGCTGGAGTCCACCCCAACGCCATCACTTACGGCTACTACAACAAGGTAAGGACAGAACATTATTCTGTGTTTTTGATCAAATAGCGTGATGCAAGCCATAGGGCTGGTTAAAAAAATCGATTCATCAATGCATTTCAATTATTATTTTCCCAATTCAATATCGATTCAGAGAAACCCTGAGATCGATTTTTTGTTTACGTTGTAATGACACCACTCTCCACTGGGGGCACTGTGGTTGCTGTGAATTTAAGTCAGGCACAATTTTGCACTTTAGATCGTCCTGTACTTTCATGTTTTATTCTTTAGTATTAAAGAATAATGCAACGATAAAATACATTTTTGAGTCAGTTTGTTTAATTATTTAACAAATATAAGAAGGTACTGTGAGTAGTTATCTCGGTATTTCTCTCCCCTATGTGTAATATTGAATCGATATCGAAGCATATTGATCAATATCGAATCGAATGGATAAGGAATCGTGAGGTTGTGGACAATACCCAGCTCTAGTAAGACAGCACCCAAAATCAGAATCAGAAATACTTGATTAATCTGTGAGGGAAATTTGTAAGCAGATGTTTTTCTTATTAAATTACAACACAAGGCGTTTAAGATGCATAGTGGAATACTCTTTGGGTTTCTCCTCCTAACATTTACATCCTTGAATTTAAAGATGGATTTAATGATTTATCTAATGAGTTCCAACCCAGTGCTGTGTGTCTTACAAAACAATAATAAAAATAATATAATATAAATAATCCTTGGATGTGATTTTCCTGATGTGGGAGTGATGCTCTGCTGACTTAGCTGCCAAAGTTTGAACAAACTCATGATAGCAAAATGTCAAACGAGTCTCCGGGGACGACTGGATAATCCCCCTTTTTCATCGGCTGTAATGAACGAAGAGACGAACCAAGTCAGCAATAAAAACAATAAAAGTCTGAAGAGTTGTCAGGGGGAGAAAAACAAACTGTCCTTGTTGCTCATACTGTAATGACAGGTCTCTTCAGGGAGGAGAGTATAAACTCATTATTTATTACTACAGAATGTACACGGGTGACTCAGCACATTCAAAAGAAATAAAAACAGGTTTAATGAACAATCCAGCAAACATCAGGATTGTTCAGATTGACTTTAAAATTTAAAGGAAGAATGTGCGACTTTTTGATCCTTGAGCTCCAGCATGAAACCAAAACAAACTGCAGTTTGGCGACACCTCCGCTAATCTGAAGCCTCCGCTCTCCTCCAATGACACACCTCCAACCCCTCTACACTCACATTCAAAAGAAGGAGTTATGAATTAGAACGCACCATAATTAAGCTCCATTAAGTACAAGCTTAATGGAGCTTAACGGACAAAATCGTCCTTTGCTCGAGTTGCAATCACCTGTGGCCTGCATTGTTGTGTTAGCAGGCTAATGTTAGCGCTCTTTAGTTAACTTGTAGCTTCATATTGACACTGAATGAGATGTAAACACACTTATGTGACATCCAAATAATCAGTGAGTATGTTCTTCTTCTCTCTAGTCCTTTACTAAAACAGCTTTTATACGCAAGGCTGCGACGTCCATGTCAACACGATGTAAACACAGCTCTGACAACAACACAGCCAGCAGGACTCGAGCTTCTCACTCATTGTAGACAGTCATGACTCAGAGAGATATTTAAAGAGGCGATATTTGATTTCTGCTGTATTTATGTGTAAAATATTGCACATTCTGCGTTTAATGGATACAAAACATTGGAGATAACAACACGTTTCCTGTAGTGGCTTCCTCAGATTTGCAGCGTTTTGTATGGATTCAACTTTAAAGTCAATCTGAACCACCCTGGTGTGCGCTGGATAACCCTGATCTTTAAAACTGGCTCTTCCTGCTTTATTTTGCGCACACTTTTCATCTTGGATGAATCAGCTAGCTTTTTCACAGTCCATTAATGTTGAGTTTATACTGTTTCTAACTGAAGCTCAGAAGCTCATTAAACTTTACCACAGCCTAATGTGATTATTTAAAAAGCTCCTTAGTTTATCTATTACAGTATTAAACAAAAAAAAAATATTTCACTAGTAGAAATGATGAAGAAAAGCAGCAAAAATAAATCATTTTAGAATCTGGAAGCAGAAAATGTTTGACATTGTTGCTCCTGCATGACAGAAAGGATTCAAGTGTAATCAAACTAACGTGCAACCAGTTTGTAGAGTTTGAGTGATGATGGATAGAGTCAGGGAGTAAGAGAGAGAGAGACGTCAGAGGTCAGATTCGAACCAGGGCCCGTCAGCTTAGAGGACAACAGCCTCTGTACACAGGGCTTGTGCATTTACCACAACACTTTTTTATTGACTTATCTAACAAATCCACTGACTGTTGCACCTTGAGTGTAAAAAGAAAAGAACAGCCAAAGGTTAAACTCTGACCTTTGTGAAAATATGTCAGAAAAGTTTTTATATTCATTCTGCAGCAGACTTATTGCAGCCCAGACTCAGACTCTTGTGTAGTCATGACTTACAAAGCAGTAATAATTAATCTCATCCAATTTATTCCTCCACTGTATCGTTCAGTTTTTCCATCATTAAAATCTCTAGCTTGTCTCTTAGGAGGCAGAGACTCTTCATCAGTGTGACGCCTCTGCAGACGCTTTGCTTTCAGATAAAAAAGAAACATCGTTTGTAGTTTCCCACCAAGGTTACAATCGGGTCGTATGTGATCACCGTAACCCAGAGTCAGGATGAGTCAAAGCTCTGTTATCATCACTACCTGTTCCTGATCTGCAGCCCAGGGAGGAGAAAAGTGAACTCTCTGATGTGATAAGGAAGCAGGCCGTCAGGAGGCGAGGCCGCAGTAAAGGTTACTCAGGCGTGTTGTGAAGGCTCAGAGGATTATTTCATCTAAGATGGAGGAGGCCTGGAGGCACAAGGTGACTGATTGAGCTGTAAGCTGCTGCTCCGGACAGCTCCAGGTGTTTTTATTCTACTTCTTCAGCCTGGTTAAAAAAACTAAATAGATCTGATTAGTTATTGTCATCACTGGCACACACTGCACAGGGGGTGATTTAAAAAAAAAAAAACGGCTCCATTTTGATTTCATGAACGATATGTGTTATCCATAGTTAGACGTGTAGGTGACATGATTGACAGGCTCCAGCTCTCAGCCTGTCGTTCGGTTGACTGAAAGTTAGACTGAGACAGGATCATGGCGGCTGCTGCTGATGAGCCTCCAGAGTCTCCTGGCTTCTAACATAAATATTTACAGTCGATTTTTAATGTTTTAATTTCTATGATTTGTATATTTTCCTACAGCTCTGTCTGTAAAACAGATTTGTGATCTTGATGGGACATTCTGGTCAAATAAGATATCATCTCTAATTCCAGGAAAGAAGCTGAGGTATCACTGAAAGCTGCTGCTGAAGTTTTTAAATCTTAGTCAAGACAATGAAGCTTTAATAACTTTGATGATTCCCTGTAAATGGATCTGAACCCCTGATTCATCTTCACCTTTTTCTGTTTTACAAACCTGAACCTGCAGAACCCGCTCTGTGATACGGACATTACAGTAAAATCTCTAATTTCTGTACCGCTAAGAGAGGACTGGAAGGAAGGTTTCTTGTTACTTTATATGAAATCTATTAAAGAGAATACAGAAGTTAGCGTAAGACGAACTTTTACCCAAAGCTGCTGAAAACTGTAACGCCACATCAGGTTTTTATAAGCAGCTCAAGGTGAAGAAAAACAAAAACACAGCTTAAGTTTCCACAAGTCAGGGAATTCCTGGGATAATTATGAGTTTTTCAGAAGGTGTTTTCCCGTCTGGCAGCATTTATTAATGTTTCACATCATTTATTTTATGCCCAATTCTCGCTGTAGAAGTTGTTTTTCAGACTCGAAACATCAGTGGAAAAACAAACGGCTCAATCCTGTTGAAAAAACAAACCAAGTTGTAGCGCAGTCTGTCGGGACTTTGGTTGGAAACTGGAGGATCGCTGGTTCAAGTCCCAGTGCGGACTAAATCTGGAAGTTGGTCTAGTAGCTGGAGATGTGCACGTTCACTTCCTGAGCTCTGCTGAGGTGCCGTTGAGCAAAGCAGCTCAGGCGCGCTCGCTGTGGTCAGCCTTCACTCTGACATCTCTCCATTCGTTCATGTCCACAGGATCCTGTCTGTGCATTTCAGCGTTTATGTGTGTAGCATGTGAATTGAATTTCCCTTCATGGGATTCATAAAAAAAAGCGGCTACATGTTCAGGGAAAGTAACAATATTCTCACATCACTGAAGGAACCTACCTCTATCTCTGTTACTGCTAAAACATTTGATCGGGTTCTCCGTCATCAGTTGCCCTTTTATGCACTTTTCTATTTTTATAAATATAAAACTCTGTCTGCACTAATGAGACTGATGTGAGCGTCTTAAAGAAACCAGTTTATTAAAGGAGCAAGAAGTCAGGTTGATGACTAATCTTTTCATTAATATTAGATGTGAAACATTTTTGTCTACAGTCCCAATCAGACTGCTGTTTCAAGCTGTGTATTTACTCCTCTGTGATGTTTCCCCTTCAATCTGAGTGTTGTGGAGATCCCCCCCGCCCTCTGTACCGTCTTAGGAGGTAGTAACCGAAGCGTTACAGGAGGTGAGACGGCTTCAGCTGAGCCAGTTGGGGAGCACAGCGCTGTGTGTGTGTGTGTCTGCATGTCTGACTGTGTGTGTATGTGGAGCTCCTTCAACCCCGGAACACAATGTGAATTCACAATCCGGGACACCAATATTACACCATTGTAGAAAGGCGTGTGGCGCGGGTGTGGCTCAGTTGGTAGAGTCGTTGTCTCTCGATTGGAAGGTAGAGGGTCCAATCCCCGGCTCCTGCAGCAACATGTCTGATGTGTCCTTGGGCAAGACACTTAACCCTGAATTGCTCACGCTGCTTATGAATGTGTGATTGTACTCTACTGCACAAACAATAACTTCAGTTGTTCCATGTTTGAACATCATCATGTATGTTTTTTTGTTTTTTTTTCGCGCATGCACGTTGGTTAAACTGGTAATAGACATATTTTAAAAAAATATCTAAATAGTATATTTAAAGTATCTGAAAACAAACTCTAAAAGGAGCGCTGAAGCTTACAGTGTAAACGTAGCACAAGACACATTAAAACATAAAAACACCTGCATCCCCGTCTCCAGCATCGATGTGGTGTTTTGGGGACAGGTCGTTGTGCTTTAGTTGTCCGACCACCTGCAGGAGGGTATCCTCATTCCACCTGTCCCAAATCCTGAGTGCCTTCACCCCGGAGCAGCCGGTGTGATTAACAGTCCTGCTCAGTAGCATACTGATCGTGTTTTCCTCACGAGGGCTCTGAAGAGTATTTTAGGAGCAGACTGAGACTGGCTGAACGTGACTGGGCCGCCGCCGCCAACAGCTGCAGCTCCTTTTCCCTTTTTTCCCCCTAATGTTCAATTTTCACTGCGTCTATCATCGCTGCAGTGTTAACGCTTTTGATGAAACATTCATCCAAAATGATTTTAGACGGAGCAGAGATTGGGTCAGTATTAGTGCACTCTGTTTAAAATGTGGAGTTGAAACAGAATGATTGAAGTCAGAGTCTGAAGATAACTGAGAGAGTATTTCATTTGATATTTTAAATAAAGTAGAAACTCCATAGACTTTACACTTGGAATAAAAAATGAAGTGTATAAAATATTGGATCAGGCTTTTCCACATTCTTGCCTTCAGTCTTATCTCGGTCTCTTTTCTCCTCCCCCCTCCCTCTCCTCCTCTTCTTCCTCTTCCTCCTCCTCCTCCTCGTCCTCCTCTTCTTCCTCTTCCTCCTCCTCCTCCTCGTCCTCCTCCTCTTCCTCCTCCTCCTCCTCCTCTTCTTCCTCCTCTTCTGTCTCCTCCTCCTCCTCGTCCTCCTCCTCTTCTTCCTCCTCCTCCTTCTCGTCCTCCTCTTCCTCCTCCTCCTCCTTCTCTTCTTCCTCCTCCTCCTCTTCCTCCTCCTACTCTTCTTCCTCCTCCTTCTCCTCCTCTTCTTCCTCCTCTTCTTCCTCCTCCTCTTCTTCCTCCTCCCCCTCCTCCTCCTCCTCCTCCTCCTCGTCCTCCTCCTCTTCTTCCTCCTCCTCGTCCTCCTCCTCGTCCTCCTCCTCCTCCTCCTCTTCTTCCTCCTCCTCCTCCTCGTCCTCCTCCTCTTCCTCTTCCTCCTCCTCCTCGTCCTTCTCCTCTTCTTCTTCCTCCTCCTCCTCCTCCTCCTCCTCCTCCTCCTCCTCCTCCTCCTCCTCCCCCTCCTCCTCCTCCTCCTCCTCCTCCTCCTCCTCGTCCTCCTCCTCCCCCTCCTCCCCCTCCTCCTCCTCCAGGCGGTGTTGGAGAGTACGTGGCCCTCGAGCACCAGAGGAGGATACTTTCTGTGGATGAAGCTGAGAAATGTCGTCCTGGGCGTGGCACAGTTCAAACGGGCGCTCCGACGACACGCCCCCCTCGCTCAGAGCCCGCTCTCAGGTAACTGCGATGAAAAAAACAATCTGCACGTCTGAAAAAAAAAACCCAAAACCGGAATGATGTTGTCTTTGTGATTGTAAAGTGAATCCTGTGCATGATCCTGGGATGATGAAACCATGACATACATTTGTTCTAAACTGAACTGCATCACCTTACTTTAGGTCGAACATACAACACGTGTAAAAAAGCAGCTTCAGACCTGACACACTGGAATCAGAGTTAGAGCAAACTGGACTCGAGTTTCTCTTGATGCTCCAAACAAATAAGTCAGTGATCTGTCTTTGTGAAGCTGGGATGATTTATATTGAACCCAAAATACTTGGGAGCTAATGGCTAATTAAATAGCCGCCTCCTTTTTCCGGCTCTGAACAATCCTTGTTTAATAGGCCTTTTAAAAAAATCCACTCAGTCGACCTGACGGAGAGTCTTTATCCAAGAAGCCATTATCGTAAATGCAACATAAATAAATGATGATCAAAGCGAGCTTGATATAAACAACACAGGATCCTCACAAAAGATCACAAAAAGGATCCCCAAAAGTCACATCTGTTTAGTTCAAATCAAACTACCTTTCAGTTCTTACTTTCGCTGAGTAGTTTTTAACAAACGTCAAAGCAGGTTAAACTGCTCAACACAACAAGGTTAACATGTTTGGTTTAACTCCCCCTGCATGCCACTGAAGACCTGCACACCCTGCATATCAATCCCCGTCCTGCAAATCCCGCCTTTTTTAAAAAAATTACTCCCCAATAACTGCTTTGTACTTTGAAAAGCTCTGACCTGCGTTTGGTTTTTGATTCAGCTATAAAGAGAGGAGGTTTCTAGGTGAGCTGCCCCTGTAAAATATAAACACTCCACTTAGAGACACAAGCAACAGCTACATGTCAAGCCACTTTCTACGATGGGATAGATGACCGAATTTAAAAAGGTAACATAAAATACCTGCCTACATGGGGACTAGGCCTTAGAGCAGTGATGCTCAACCCGAGGCCCTTGAGCCACATGTGGCTGTTGTGGCTCTTTTAAGTCCGACTTGGAGAAAAAAATCCAAAAGTAATTATTACACATTTTTAATTTTAATAATAATTAATAGTTTAATTTAAAATATTTTTTTTGGTTGTGGCTCTTGCAGAAATATTTTTGGTCAATGTGGCTCTTAAGTCTAACAAGGCTGAGTATCTCTGCCTTAGAGGAAACACACAGCAGCCCTAACTCCATAAAGCCTCTCTCCTCCTGAAGCCAGCTCTGGGCTTTTAAGCTCTGAGGCCGGGTGCTCCTTGTTAGACGATCAGTAGCTTCACTCTCTGGGCGGACGAGGAGACAAACAGCACAGGGGACAACATACAGATGTAACCGTTATCTGTAGCTTATTTAAAGGACTTAATTACATTTAGATAGATTCTCTTCAAAGAACATGAGAAGGAATAAAGACTCATTTAGATACTAAATTAATTAATACTAATTAATGAATTCTTTGTTCTTGATTATTTATGGAAATGCAAAGTTTACCTGACCTGCTCTGCACTGAAATAAAGACTCCCTAAGGTGTCATATCGGTAAAGTGGAACTAAATTGTAACTGAGCGGGACCTTGTTAATCGTTTAATTAGTGCCAATTTACATCTAAATGATCCCAGGTATTTACAGCTGCACATCAGTTCCTTTCTTGTAAAAACACAGCGCCTATAAAAGTGTTACAACCTTTGTTTTAATCGTAGTGACCGGGAGTTATTCAAAATGTTTCACACTGCAGCGTTATTATTTAAAGGTTTTTAAAAGCTCCTTTATTGACACTGCAGAGGTCATGAAAACACAATAAACCGTGCAGAACGCATTCCTTGTCACCCGTTTATATAACTAATACACATATTCAGAATCAACAAAAAAAGAAGGAAAAGTTGAGCATCTTATGGAGCAGAAATGGCAGCCGGCCTCCTTTAACGCCTTGTTGTCTTTGGGCAGATGGCAGCGACCTGGACGCTGTGAGTCACGGCAGCCTGGATAGCTCTGCCGACACTAACCTGGCCGAGCAGGGCCCTGACTCCGCCAAAGTTTACCCCACTGACGATAGATCTAGCACAGGTACACTCCACATGGCTGCTGCCTGACTTCATCTTTCACAGGCAGCCATCTTGTCCTCCATCTTTTTGTCTCTCAATGACACTTTTGGTTTTTTAATACTCGTTTCTCATTTTGTCCGACTTTATCGACCTCTCGTTTTTCCTCGTTTGTGCCTCCTGAATCCTCCGTTCCTCCGCCGCCTGTTTTTTCCACTTTCCTTTCCTCCTCCCCGTTCCTCCATGTTGTCTCCTCCTGGTTTTGCGGCTGTGGTTTCTGCTCTGCTCTGTCCCTAACCCTGCCCTTCACTCTGGCCCTGCCTGTGTTGCCCTTGCATGCAGCCAGCCGTGGGGGCGGCGGCGCGGGTGCCAGGGCCCCGGTGGCCCTCTCACACTGGGGGGGCTCTGAGCTCAGAGAAGCCACCCTCCATCCAGGTAAACCTCTGTGTCTGTCCGTCTCTCTCTGGTTGCACTTCCATGTCTCATGTTTCCTGCTCTGTGATGACGTCCTTTCATCTTCTCTGTTTCTCTCTTTCTGTAATTTTCACCTCCTCACTGTGACATCTCTCCATCCGGCACATCACATATTTCTGCTCCTCTATCCCCCCCTCCCTCTCTTTTCTTACTCGCTTCACTACAGAGTGATTTGTCTTTGTCAATTATGTCGAGTAATTACACAGAGGCACCTCATTTTTTGATTACAGAAATCATTTTAATCCCAGAGACGTCACCTCAGCAGGAGACTTTGCCTCGTGTTCAGAGAGAAGCTCAGCGGGAGGGAGGGAAGGACCTCGATGTGCTCTCCATTGATTGTTAGAGTCCTTGCATGACTTTTGTCAGTCGCTCCGTCCTGTCATACAGCCGAGCTGCGCAGACTAATGTTTTATTTAGAGGTGACGGCCACAGAGAGGTTCAGGACAAAGATGAAAGAGGAGAACAAATCACCAGACAGCTGGTGGCCTGCAGACCCCGGGAAGTTCTAGAGACAGATGGTGGTGTCAGCCTGGAGTGACAGCACCCCCCCCACCCTCCCCTCCCCCCCCCTAAAAAAACCTCAACAGTTAAATTCATTAGCAGCTGTGAAACTGTGGTTAGCTTCCTCTCTGTAACTGTAGATCTCTGCAAGCCCCGAGGAGGATTTTTGTTATTCAGCGCAGCTTAGCTGTTTTTACTCTGAAACAGTGCTGTGTCTCCCAGAACAGAGGAGATGAGAGAGAAGGAAAGCCTCACTATTCTCTTCTATTATATGTTTGATTTACGTCTCCTACTATAGTGGTAAAGTTATAGAGTCAAACTATTTTCAGTCAGAATGAGCGAAGAGGCCTAACTCATCTGAAGAGCGTTAAGTGCAACTACTTTTAGAGAAGATTTTTGGGGCGGGAAAAATGTAGATACAGCATTATATTTCCTCCTGACTCACGTGATACAGTCATTTAATCATTAGTGACAATTATAGATATTTCACTAAAACAAAAATACAGCGCACTAAACAGATTTTCCCGCCAATTTGACTCACCGTGTCACTTCTTCATGACTCTCATGGAGGTGCTTATGACATGATTAAGAGTAACATGGTCAGAAGTTAAGACAGCGGGAATAATGAAGTTTAAGAATGAAGTATTATAAGAGGTGAAACTGGCACCAAATTGCAGAGAATAAATAAATGCATCCTGAACGTAACCTTTCAAGGAGCTTTTTCAGATAATGAGATATTCCATTATGTGTTTGTCTTGCAATATATCAGTTACCTCAGATTCTCTGTATTGTGATATTATCAGTATTGTGTCGCATCACGTTGTGAACTTTGATTCTCAAATCGTTTTTTTTCTGCTGAGGTTTTCTTAGTGTTTCACGTTTCTGTGATCTTGTGGTTTCTCTTAAACTTCAGTGCTCGTTACATCCCTCTAATCCGAGTTCACCTGTGTCTTTTCTTCCTCTTTTAGGTGATCAGTCAGACCTGGGTTATAACTCGCTGTCGAAGGAGGAGGTTCGGAGGGGAGACCCCGGCGCTCCAGACTCGGCCCCCGACAAAGAAGACAAGAAGGAGAGCGACTGCAGCTCCCGTCAGTAGTCCCTCTGATCTGATATCACTGATATTTCTTTCTACTTGTTCTTCTAAAAAATTATAACTTGGCAGCCTCGCAGGATTTCCCCTTCCTCTGCCTTGATCTCTCCGCCTCTCCTCCAGAGATTATTCATTCATTTTGGTTTCTCAACATCAAAGAGTTTCAGCCCTGTGTGGTGTCCTTTTTTTTTTTTTTTTTTTTTAAAGAAGAGCTCCTTTCTCAAGCTGTGCTCGTAGTAAATTTTAAATTGTAATTTTGTGTTTGTAGTATCCGAGACGGAGAGCAGCAAGGGAAGCAAAGACTGCCTCCCCCAGCTGGAGGCGGAAGTCCAATCCTCCTTCAAGACCAGAGGGATCGTCCGCAGCAGTTGTGCTTTTGACGATTCATCGTGTAAACCCAAGAGCTCGGCCAGCGCAGGTAAGGAGGAGGTGGAGTCAGTAGTTATGTAAAGGTGAGGGGGATGCTGGTAAAGTTTTATTTTAATGATATCCCAAATGTGCCTGGATATAAAAAAGTCAGGAGCTTAATTTGAATGATTCCTAACTCATAATTCTCAGCTACTTTTGTTATAAAAGAGGAACCCAGAGGAAAGAATCAGAGCTGAAACATATTTTAAAACATGCTTTAAGAACGTGGGTTATTATTAATTGATAGTATCATCTTATACCTACAAAGCTTAATCTCTACCCTCTAGTTTTCATAAGCAGCCCATGCAGCAGAGTTTGAGCTCATAGTTACTCACTGAAATGTTCCATGGCGATATTTAATGTATGCACACAGGCTTGCACCAATAATATCTCATTAAGAGCCTGATTTTTTCACAGCAGTTCCCCCGATTATGTTTCAACAATTCAGTCGGGAGAATTAAACGGCCACTGTGGGCGGCAATAAGCCAGTGTGTAGGAACTTGGGTTGGAAATCGGTGGGTCGCCTGTTCATGTCAAAAAAGTGGAAATTGGTCTGGTAGCTGTAGAGGTGCTGGGTCACATACCGAGTGCTGCTGAGGCACTGAACCCCCAACAGCTCTGGTGCACTCCCTGTGCTATACTTTATATTTTCATTAAACTACAAATCAGTAGTATTCAAGAAGAGTATCACCAGTACCCAAGTTAAGACCACTTGTGAAACATTAAGGTAATATATAAAACCTTAATAGAAAGCCTTTAACATATTAAACAAATGCACACAAAAAAAATTTAAATGACAACTTGCAGTCACAGTTAGAGCCGTTTTCACAGAGGCACCCCTGGAAATTTCAAGAAAATTTCATTATGTGCTCGAAGATTGCTCCATTTGAAGGATACAAAACGTCACATCACCCTCTCCAACTCGCTCTAAGTGAATTTTCCGGAATATATTGTGCTACGATTACACGTCGGCTCAGCTCAACTTCAAGTGGAAAATGTAGAAGGTGGCTGCAGGAAAAAAATATCCAGGTGAAGTCTGGGTGAAAAATAAAGCCGTTTTGCATTTACACATGCAGCTCACCCTGACAATTTGGAGTTTTGTGCACTAAAGTATTCTCTTAATCGACTAGCATTAGGTCCACTATGAGAGGGAGGCACTTCAGATGCTCGGGGACTTCACTTTATCTGCAGAAGGTCAATAACATCACATCATGCTTTTTTGCTCTCAGGCCATGTTGCAGGTCTCCTCTTCACTTCCTCCCTGGATGAGATCGGTGAGATCAAGTCCAACAGTTTGCTCAGGAGGCATAAGAGCGCTCTGGAGGAGGTGGTTGGCAGATCCGGCGGTGGCTCCGCTCTCGACTGGCAGGGCGTGAGGGGCCGCCGGCTGAGCGGTGACACGGTTGGCAGCAATGGCAGCGGCACAACTGTCCTCGGCCTGGGTATGTGCCAGGGTGAAACCGACCCTGAAAAGATCGCAGGACATCTGGGGGCGGATGTCAAAATTCTCTCTGGTGCAAACTTCAGTAAGAATACGAAGCCTCGACCGCTGGTTTCGGGGAGGCAGGAGGGGGCTGCTGGTGTTGCCAGGTGTCATGACGACATGGAGGAGGAAGAGGAGACGGAGGGATTGGACTCCAGTGATGAAGACAGAAGTAATACAGAAGCCATTTTTGATTTTGAAGATCTGGATTTGGACAACCCCTCAACAAGAGGAGACATCAGATCTAAAAAATCTCATAAAAAGCCCGTTGGACGAAGCGCCAGCTACGGAGGTGTGAGCGCCGAGGCATCCAGAGTGGCCGTCAAACGCACAGACATCGAGAAGGGCTATGACCCTTTGTCCCTGCTGGCAGCAGAGTCCCATTCCGAGCAGCAAAACGAGGATCAGGACCCAGAGGGGGACGAGGCCAGCACGCCGAGCGCCCGACGACACCTCGCCAGGGAGATCGAGCTGTACATGAACCACATGGGCAGCCCGCTGAGCAGCCGCACACCCAGTCTAGACCTACAGGACCCTTCCAGCCCCCTCCTCCTTCACCCTGCATCCCTCTCTGCCCCCCGCAGAGCCAGCCTGCCGCACAGCTCCCCCCTCAGGGCCGCTGGAGTCCCGCGCTCCCGCACCTTCCACCCGCCCTCGCCCTCGGAAACCATCACTCATCAACGTCTGTGGTCGTCACCTCCACGTCGCAGCTCCAGCACCACCCCGAGCCCCAGTCCTCGACCCAGCCCGTACAGGGAGAGGACGGACAGGATGAGCCTGGCCTCACCTTCACCCTCCTCCTCCTCCTTCGCTCTGGACACTTTGCTCACACCGACGCTCGATGTGTTCAAGACCAGTGTGGTCTCTGCAGGGAAGGGCGTGGCAGAGAAGGCAAGCCGCTGGTATTCCCGCCTTGCAACGTACACCACACCCACCAAGGTACAATGTCTGCTTGTCAAAGTAATTGCGCTGTGACAATTTAAAACTCCAACTATTTTAAAAGGACTTTGATCAGATTAATTGTTGTGTTGGTTTCCTACGCTTGTTCTACAAATACCTCTAAATATGTATTTATGTACCTACAGTATATGTTACATTTTAATAGAAAAAAACGGATCATACACGTCTAAATTTGTGAGTTTCTTCTAAAGGATTTCTGATTTAAATTTGCCCTAAATGGGACCTGAAGCTGCATAAACATGTCTGGTTGTATCGCAGAGCTGTAACTTCTCTCCTTCTGGTTCATTTAGTACTGAGCCACCACAAGCAGTGGTCCAAGATGAAGCCAGAGTTTGAGTTGTACTGCCATCTTGTGGCCGGTTTGGTGTGTCACAGTCCTCGATAATGTGAAGGAAAGCCTTTTGGCCATCTTTCTGTATATTTGTCTCCTCTGCTCACTCCTCGTTACTGTTCTCAAAATCTATCAATAACAAAGTACCCAACCACTGACATGTAGACAGAAATCCCTGATTCATAACGACGCAGTCAACCAATCAAATTTCTCGACAGCTAAGAATCACCATGAAGCAGCTCCCAACACACTTTACATTTAAATGGAACAAACACGGGCCGATCCAAATATATCAAACAAAAAAGTGTTGCAGTAGAAAAAACAAATTTAGATGCATCAATAATAAAGTAATGTTTGAATGAAAATCTTTATTTAGATCAGTGATTCTCAACTGGTCTAGCCTCAAGACCCACTTTAAACTCCTTAATGTTTAATCCCGACCCTAATTTCTGATATCTTGTTGATTTCTGATAAGCATGTTTTTAAAAGCTCTCTATACTCTTTTGGACACCATTTTTTTTCCTGGCACACATTTGTGACCCTCCAAAAACCGCTCCGCGACCCCCTTTTGGGTCCAGAGTCCGACCCACCAGTTGAGTACCAATGATTTAGATAAGTTAGAAACGACCTCTGACAAGTATATGTAATTATCTGATATATTATTATGATACAAACCGTCTGCCAGACCTTTAGTTCAGTACTCAGACGATAATAAATGGTTTTGGATATCTGGCAACATGACTGTGTTTGAATTGCGTGTGTGTGTATGTGTATGTGTGTGTGTGTGTGTGTCTGTTAGCAGCACAGCTTGTAGGTAGCTTGTATAGCGTCTGTAACATTCACTCCATGATGGCGTTGACCTGACCCGCTCTCCTCTGTTCATGCAGGAGGGTTTCAGTGATAGAATGAGCGTGTCCTCTCTTGGTATTGGAGATCCAGACTGCTCGTCCATGATGGATGAGGAAGACTGTGGGGAGTCAGGCAGCTCTGTAGTCTCTCCTCAGAGGAACGGCCCGATGGGACCTCGCAAGAGCCCCCGACGCAGCCCCCTCCGCAGCAGACTGGACGGCCCCAGCCTGGGTAGACCCACATCTCTGCTCCCTGGTAAAAAAATGTTCTCTCAAAAGAGACAGCTGGAGAAAGTTATGAAGATAGATTTCTCAAGTTATCAATATCAGCAAATTCCAAAACAAAAACAGCTTTCTTTGTAGCAATTTATTTATGAACTCTTTCACAGCACACCCATTTAAAAAACATCAAAACCAATCACATCAATCAGTGTCCAAAGGAAGTCCTTATAAGGGTCTGCCAATTTGTCACAATTGCTGGATGTCCTAAAAAATATGCCAGGAATAATTTGCTGTTGGTGCGATGTTTTACTCTCTATAACGTCCTTTAAGGTAACATGATTTGATCATTTTTTATGCTCCTGTAGGATCTGTCCTCTCGCCTCCTGGCTTCCCTATGCCGGATAAGTCGGACCTCGGCTCTTCACGCTACACCAGCAACACCAGCATCTTCAACAACTACGCCATGGAGGTAAAACTAGGAGAGTGAGAAGTAGAATTATTACACTGATCAGGCGAAATGTTATACTTATGACAGGTAAAGGGAGTCTCTTTACTTGTCTCTGGGTGGGATATGTTAGGCAGCAAGTGAACAGTTTGTCCTCGATGTTGGAAGGAGGTAAAATGGGGAAGGATAGAGTGAGGATGTGAGCGACTTTGACAAAGGGTGGAATTGTGATGCCTAGACGACTGGGTCACAGCATTTTTAAAACTGCAGCTCTTGTGGTTGTTCTCAGTCTGCAGTGGTCAAATGTTATGTCTTTACCCTGTCACTCGCCTGGACTGCAGCTCTGCTAAATGGCTTTTGCCATACTGCTCTACTACCTGGACAAGAACAGGGAATGGAAAACAGCTCCTAAAGAGCAGCGTGGTTTGGCAGTTTTTCTGATATAAAAAATGGGGACAGAGTTGTATGTGTCAGGTTAAACTGGCCACTCGATCAAGGCAGTGCATAACTACATTTAACCTGCAAGGAGGCATCAAGTCCGGTTGCTTGCAGTGGGTGATGGCGGCGACTGAATGTGTCATGACACAGTGCATGATTCAGAATTGTATACTTGTTTATTGGTTGCACCAGTAGGGCCCAGTTCACTTTCCGATTAAATATTTGGTCTTAAAAGTGCATCTTTATCGCCACATTTGATGCATAGTTTTAAAATCTTGTGTGTGTGTGTGTGTGTGTGTGTGTGTGTGTGTGTGTGTGTGTGTGTGTGTGTGTCCAGCTGCTGATCTCCAGCTGTTCTCGCTGTAAGACGTGTGACTGTCTGGTGTACGACGAGGAGATCATGGCGGGCTGGACGGCCGACGACTCCAACCTGAACACCACCTGCCCCTTCTGTGGAAACCCCTTCCTGCCGTTCCTCAACGTGGAGATCAGGGACATGCGAGGACCCGGCAGGTAGACGAGGACACCCAAGAACTTCTAAATCATACAACAATCTGTAGCATTTTGTTTTTAGACCGAATGAGGCCTCAATTATCATCGTTATCCCCCATCATTTTACATAGTTACTTAAATGCATTACTTTTGCCAAAGCCCCAAAAACTCAAGACATCTATATAACTTTAGAAGAACCCGATCTTTCTCACACATCATTCATCCTCTCTGCAGGCTTTTCCTGAAGGGCAGCCCGTCGGTGGATGAAGCGATGACCTCATCGTACTCGGCCTCCACAGGTCTGGACACGGGGACGTCCAACTTGTCCACCCCCTGTCCCACAACCGCCGTCTCCCCTCCCTCACCTACGATCGCTGTCCAGGCGTGCTCAGGCACTGGAAGGTAATCGACAAACTTCATTTATTTTTGCCTCTGCCTCTGCCTTAAATGTATATTTATAGGTCCTAAATGTGATATTTTCTCAAACATCTTTATTGAATGTTATTGTTTTTTTTAACTTTATATGTGTCTTTATTCATTGCTGACTCAAAAAAAATCTTTGCTACTGAATGTTTTCAACTAATATTTTAACAGGTAGTTAAAGTTAAAGAGAAAATCTAAAGCTTCTTTGTTCTTGTTTTATTGAACTGGGTTAGAAATCTGTGTAACCGTCTGAGCGTCCTCGCCCTGTCTTCACAGAATTCAATCAACCAGAGGTATCAACATCCCCACAGACCGCCGCCCCGGGGCGCTGTCCCCTGGAGGACCCATGGCTCGCAGTGTGAGCGCCTTTGAGCCTATGGAGGAAACGTCTCTTCCCAGGCGCTGTGTGCCGACATCAGGCAGCCTGCCGAGCCGTCTCAATGAAACCCCGGTATGTCTCGCCTGAAGTCAGTGATATAACAACATTTCAGTGATGCTCCGGTTTTCATAAGCAACTGTTAGCTTACAAGTACTTACTTCATTTCCAGTTTAATGGAAACTTGAATGTCAAGTGCATCATCAAAATAAAATAATTTCCCTCGTTATGCCAAGGACCCTCTGAGTATGGAGTGGCGGCTCCACAACCCCGAGCCGGTGACGGTTCCCTACCTGAGCCCTCTGGTTCTGTGGAAGGAGCTGGAGAGTCTGCTGGAGAACGAGGGCGACCCCGTGATCACGGAGGCCGACATGGTGGATCATCACCCCATCATCTACTGGAACCTGGTCTGGTACTTCAGGCGGCTGGACCTGCCCAGTAACCTGCCCGGTCTGATCCTCACCTCTGATCACTGCAACATAGACTCCCAGGTCAGATACGCATTAAACCTACAGAAACGGGGATAATCATAACTTCTCAGAACAGGCTGTTTCTGTGTCTGTACCTTTAAATGTAGATGAGCTGTGTCTGACCACGCCCCCTCTCTGGAAGGGCTTGGGTGTCTCGGGCTTTCTCGCTCCATGTCCTAACACCTAGCTGTGGGAGTGTCACCCACCTGGGGGAGGGTTTACTGCCCTTTGTGATGTCATGAAGGGAAAATCTCGACCAGTGGAGTCTTGACAGAACAAATTTTTTTTTTTCTTGCCCATGTATATTCTAACAAAAGAAAGCAATAGAAATTAATTGAATATATTTTTGTCCACTGTCTCACCGTGCTTCTGTTTGTCTCTGGTCGTCTGTCAGGTCCCTCGTCACTGGATGTCCGAGGACAGTAAACACGTCCTGATCCAGATTCTGTGGGACAACCTGAAGCTGCACCAGGAAGCGATCCAGCCTCTCTACATCCTGTGGAACACCTTCAGTGAGTCACACGGCTCGGTTTGTGTCTGTTTATGAGTCAGCAGACAGTCTGATAATTTACTCTCAGAGGAGCACTGACTGCTGCTGATAAAGATTTTTAGAAACTGCAGCATTAAACTTTAATGATCCTCAGAGTGAAGCACAACAAAAGTGAAAAACAGAAGAATGGGATGAAAACACTTGAGGAAATTAAAGGAGAGGGGGGGGAGTGAATCAAGCAGGGATAGGCAGATTTAATGCACAAAAAGAAAATTACAAAAAGTGCATAAAAAAACAACTTTGAAAATAAACCAAGAAAAAAATAAAACATTAAATCTTTAACTGCAGAGGTTAAATAGCATCAGATGTAAACATCAGATCTGTGTGGAGCCATCAGGTTTGTGCTCAGTCTGTGTTAATGAGTTGTGTAATGTCGACGGAGGCGTGGACGCAGCTGGCTAATGATGTGCTAACAGGCTCTGTCTGCTCTCTGTCTTGCAGGGCTTAATTGTTCTCTGTTGTTAGACAGTGAGTGTTTATCTCTCCTCTTTAGACGAGTCTTCTTGTTTGTGTGCTGCTGTTCTGTCTCCAGACCTGCTTCCTCCCTCTGCTCGCTGTCTCTGCTCGATGCATTTCAGTGTGTCATCTGTGGAAAAAAAAATCAGCCTCAGTGTCTTTGTAAAGTGTCAAATCTTCTGACTCTGACGGAGGGATTGTGTGTTTGTTTTTTTTGTGAAATTCTGGTGACACATCAAATATCTGCGTTTGAATGAAGGTGTGCATCTCTGATGAATGTTTACATCCATTAGCTGAGATGGAGTTCATTGTTTATTCTTCTGCAACTTAAAAAAAAGGACGTACTTTTAGTACTAAAGGGGCTGGGTACTGAAGACAATAATAACAATAATAATACATTTATTTGTTTAACACTTTTAAAAACGAGGGTTTACAAAGTGCTTTCACACACAAGAAGCAAACATAAAAACAAAAACAAGACCACAGAGCAACTCACTGAAGAGACACCCAACCAACAACAACAGAAACCCCGACAGTAAAAAAAGAACCCGAACAGAAACACGACCAACATCAGAACCCAAACATCACCAGAATTCAAGCAACATAGTATATCATAATAGCTCGGGTAATACAGGAAACCAGGCAGATTAGGTTGAGACCAAGAGGGCCGAGGCTGTTAGGAGATTCAATTAAATTCAAAAAACTTTATTTGTCCCCCGATGGGCAATTCAAAAGCAAATCAAATAAGTGAGCAATTAAAAGAGACACAGTAAGAAGTAAGAGCTTCAAAACAATAAAAAGTGGCTAGACACTATAAAACAAGAAGACAAATTACACTCCAGACTTCATCTATTCTGTATTTTATTTGTCCATTTTACTGCAGACTCACCCTCCCTGATTTCTGACTCGATCCGCTGTCCTGTCTTTAAAATAAAAGTGCAGTGCAGCGGACCTTTTAGATGGAACAAAATGTGACCGATCAAAAGAGACACAACAAAACAAAATGTATTAAAAGCTCACTATAGACTATTTACAACATTTTATTTTTCCTTGCACTCATTGGAGACCCTCTGAAAACAGCTCAGTGACCCACTTTTGGGTCCCGACTCACCCGTTGAAAACCACTGCTCTAGGGTACAGCTCATTGGGATCCTAACAAACAAACAAAGCACAAAATATTAGGATGATTTTCAAATGAAATTTGTTGTTTATTTTATTTTATTTTGAACACAAGTTCAGTCGAAATATAATACTTTAGGCTATCATTAACTCATCTAATTTATGTTGCATATCAACAGAACTAATTTTGTTGAAATATTTGTCTCGATATTTGATCGAGTTGACTTTAACTCGATCTTATTCAACAAACACTTTATGTTAAGTGAAGTATATTTACAAAGGTACCCAGCCTCTAGTACTTCTCATCTGATTGTAAACATTTCAGTGATTCAAACATTTTCATTTTTCCATTTATGTTCTTCGTTTGACACACTCACGAGTCCACAGCTGAACTGTGTGTGTGTGTGTGTGTCTGTGTGTTTCTGCAGATGTGGGTTACCCTCTGTCCCGGCCGGTCGTGGAGGAGGAGAAGCCGTTCAGCGAGGAGTTGCTGCACAGCGTGGTGAGGAGCATCCAGAGGAACGACATCAGCCGGCCAAATGGCTCAGCTGCTGCAGCTGCTGGGACAGACGCTCGGAGTCAAGAGGCAGAGGTCACGACCTGAACAACATGTCATCAATATTTAGTTTTTCTAAATGTTTATATCTGCCCTAAAAAAAAAGGGACAAATATCATTTACAATAATCAATGACATTTAGTCGTTTTGAATCCTGAAGCGCAACTGTTTGACCTCTCTCTCTCTCTCTCTCTCTCTCTCTCTCTCTCTCTCTCTTCTCTCTCTCTCTCTCTCTCTCTCTTCAGGAGTTTGTATCGGGACGTTCTCTTCCTGTCTCTCGTGGCTCTTGGAAAAGACAACATTGATATCGGTGAGTCAAATATTTCTGCTATAAAGATCATATGTCAGATCCCAGAATCTTACATACAACAATCATCTCCCTGTGTTTAAAAATATTTTCTTAATTTTTAGTTGAGCTAAAGGTTATAAACGAGACGTCTATTCCAGGCTGCTCTGGTTAAAGGAAACTTGATTTAAATAAGAGCTGCATTTACAATCTTCTGTCCCTTCTTTAGAGAAACATGATCAAACAGTAAATACTTTTATTTTACCATTAAAGGCACGATATGTAAATTCCACCACCAGGGGGCTCTCAATCAAAACAAAAGATGACGTTGTGGCTGTCAGGGAATCATGGGAGTGATTCTCTCTGCTACTCTGTAAACTAGCTGGCTGTTAACCTAAAACTACAAACTAAAAGACGCTATAATCCTCCTTAGAGCTGAGGAAACAGTTTGTTCCTCTGGATTCACAAACATGTTTTTGCATCTTTGATTGAAGGAAAACAATACTTAAATCGCCTCATGTGGTTAAAAACGATCACTAGAGAATATATTGTTCTAATCTTCACTTCCTGCTCCTCCCCCCTCAGACGCCTTCGACCGCGAGTACAAGTTGGCCTACGACCGCCTTGTACCGAGTCTGGTGAAGCTGACCCACAACTGTGACCGTCCTCCCAGCACGGGGGTGATGGAGTGCCGCAGGACGTTTGGAGAGCCTTACCTGTAAAATTCACACACACACACACACACACACACACACACACACACACACACACACACACACACACCACACACACACACACACACACACACCCATTGCTTGAAGACGCGCTCAGGAAACCTTGGGGAGGACTGTGAATGTTGCACTACGGTAACGATGTTTCAAACGGTACAGACGACAGCGCTCAGCATTCATGTAGCCTGAAACAAAAACTAAATGGAGGATTTCAAACACTCACACACGTTCATAAACTGGACTTCATCCAGCGCTGTTACATGACGCTTCTACCCTGTGAAGATGATTTAAATATCCTGTAAATACACAACAGTAGAGGATTTTTATAATGCAACATTTATATTGTCATACAGCATATGAAGACTAATTCTAGAAATATTTTAACCTGAAATATTTATACAAAGTAAGCTTTATTTATTGTCTTGTCTTCTGTTTGGTTGTGTCCTGTGGTTGTTTGAGGCGTGTTCCTCTAAATGAGGATTTCATTTCATTATCTGGTTTAAAAAGCTTTCATGTGTTTTTAACCACCACGTCTTTAAGTCCAGTAAACTCAATGATGTTGTTAGCAGGAGCTACCTGCGGCTAACACTGTGCTGTGTGCGTCTATGGACGTTAGCTAAAGGCTCTGCTCCCTGAAACATGAGCAGGAAACACATTTCCAGCAGGGGAAAGAAAACCAACGTGCTCTCTGCAGCTGGATTTCAGGTGTTAAAATCACATCCAGCAGTTTTCTTTGTCGGTGGTCTCAAATGGGCGAGTCTCCTGGCTCACAGGTCAGACTTTTACATGATGTAGTCTGAGCCTGGGGTACTCGTGTTAGAACTTTAAATGTAGGTTAAATGAGCTCTCATGAACTATGACAGCGTGTCCTAACAGCATGTGGAGTGAGCGGACATTAGCGACAAAATCAGCCTGATTCAATTGTTTCCTACTGGAGAGTCAAGACGGTCTGCGAGCCAAAGCCTGGTTTTTATTTTCATTCCTCTCCCTCGTGTAGACAATTATGAGGAAGGAGGGGGCTATCCAAGGCACTGGCATTGTCTCTTCTTTCACTCAACAGAGGTTTTTAGCTTGTTTTTCAAAGGTGAGATAGTAGTGCATTTATAATATCCATATCCCTGTTTGAGATGTTTTGCTTTGACTTGTGTCAACGCCAGAGGAAAAACCTAAATCAGCTCACAGCGAGACGTTTATTAACGAGCGCTTAATTGTGTTTGTGAATTGAGTCAACAGCTTGTTAAGACAAAGCTTCACACTTACCTTCATTACAAAATCACTAGATGTTAAACTGTTCACAGAGCAGAGAAGTAAACATGTAACAGATGCAGCGTGGACAGCGAGCGTATCTGAAAGTCTGCTGCAGGAGTAACGCCTGTGATTTCTTAAAGATTGAGATTTTTTTATCATATCTTTGTTTTTAACTTGAAATTTTCTGAAATGTTCTGTAAAAAAGAGCCGAAGTGTGCTGCAGAACTTGTTTCAAATATCACCTGAGTAAACATCTCATCAAGAGATGAAAGTCTGCCCGAGCTTTTATCTCAAACATATCGAATTTAAACCAAAAACAGATTCTTATATATCAGTGTTTACTGGATGATCCAGTGTGGCTGCTTCATTACATACAGTATCAGTGTTTGGATTTCTACCTTTGATCCTCCTGGGAAGAAAAAACCCTGAACCCTCAGCTTCAATCTTTATTTGTATAGCGCCAATTCATAGCATGTGTTTTCTGGAGACACTTTACTAAAGAGCAGGTAAAAGACCTTTACTCATTGTTAAGAAAAATGGGATGGGGGAGATGGGATAAGAAGCAGGAAGGATTTCTCCTTTGTATTCCTAAGTGTTCCTAAGGTGGAGGTCAGAGCAGGCCGTGCATGGACGAGGACGGCGGTGGTTGTGGGGACGACACAGTCCGATAGCCTGGCTGATACTTTATATCCACATACTCATCTCCTCTCATAAATGTAGAAATGAAAAAAAAGTGAAACCACGATTCCAGTTCTGTTGTTTCTGGTGAACAATGGAAACAAAGAAGAGTCACTGAAAAATGGATGAGTTCATATTTGGTGTTAACAGGTCCTCTGATTGATGAATGAACATGCTCCAGTGTTTGTGAAGATAAGGGATTATCAGGACTCAAACTTGAA